TTATTATATTTTTATAAATTTTTTATATTTTATATATTTTTCTTCCAATAATTCACTCACTCCTTATTAAAAGAAAAACTACTCACAATTCTCTGCGTCCTCGAAATGCTTCAACCGTCGGACCCCAGCTTGTAAGGGAGAGACCAGTCCCGTAAAGGGTCTCTTTGCTGCGGCCGCAGGCTTATCTGGGTCTCACTCACCTGCTGGGGGTCGTCGGGTATCTTGCAATCCGGCTCGAAGGACCAATTAATGTTAGGTTTAAACACCAAACATTTTATGCAGTAACCTGTACAAAGAATGACACAGAGAATTTAGTATATTTTACTTGCAAGGAGAGGGGATCAGAAACTGCATTCAGTTACAACTTCAAACCCACTCTGAAGCAGTATCTGCTCTCCAAGCCCTTTATTGAAAAAACGCCCTGATTACAATGTGGTTTCAACCGCTAAAGGGGGAGGGAACAGAACCCAGTTGAAACCAGAATTTTCGTACAACATCATACAACATCATAGGATAAGGAGAACCCCTCTCCTTATCTAGTTGCACAGTTCTCCATTCTCCTCCACACCCTTAACGACATCTGTTAACAGCAGTCGCAGTCAACATCCCTCCTGCACAGACTTAAAAAACATTAATGACACAGCAAACAAAACTAAATGTTTTAACACTCTTTGTAATATGAGTAAGATAGAGATAACAAAATGTGTAAGTATAATATGATTAAAGTAATATGATTAAAGTAGAATAACTTATGTTCAATTAATTAACCCAACATCTCCTTAAATTGAACATTTTACAGCTAAAGTAAGATGGAGATAGTTATACACAGGTGAAGGAATGAAAATGTCAAACAAACAACGAAAAAGTGTTTTGATCACAAAGCAGAATGAGTGACATGGAGTGTAAAATGCTTCCCTTCTTCACCGGAGCAGCAACTTTCACCATCTGCACCATTTGATCATCATTTTTATTACTAAGTCCAAATCCGAGGAAGGGTGTTTCTTAGATAGTGTACTTGGAGAAGGAAACATGTTTAGTAGTGATGTTATGAGATGAGCCGAGGCTTCGAGGCGTGTGTCGAGTAATGGAGGGGGCGTTTCCACGATGCGCCTGTCGAGGCGTGATTCATTTAGAGGAGGGGCCAAAATTGATGACGTCTGAGGCCTCGCTACCGTGAAACCATGTGACCGCTTCGGTAAGCGGTTCTGGAAGCGCAAGAATTTTGAAAGGAATCTAAACAGCCTCAGTGTTCAGTCAAGATGTGGGAGTTTGGAGGAGAGCTGCTGTCAGCTGGATAAAGTTTGGATAGATTCTAAGAATAGATTGGTTGTTTTTCCAACCAATCTAGTTGCTTAAAGCTAATTTGGTTAGAATAAACAATGTAATGATCAAAATCTGAGCAAACCACCAGACAAAGCCAGTGTTAAGTAGTATTTTCTCCAAGATCAGGCTATCTACATGAGTGGCGTCCTCTGTAAGTGACAGACTCCCACTCTAGAGGTTGATGGTTCAAGACTTGTCTCTCTCTTTTGAAAGTTGCGATTAAACTTAATTATTTTGGCTGATGAGACTAATTTGCATTGTTTTGCCCGAGTAAAAATATAGATTGGGTAAATTAGGTTGGTGTAGTCAAAAGATTGGTTGAAAACAACTTCCAACCTGATTAAAACCAAAAAACGTGGAAAAACTATCATGTTTGAATAAAAATGACTAACACCTTTCATTTGGCTCATCATTACCCAATTTGTACAAACACTGTCATTGTCTGCTTGAGTTTATTTCACTAAAATGGCAGAAAAACGGTTCACCTTAAATGATTGCTCTAAGAAATTTTACACAAAAAAAAAAAAAATTAAAAATTTTATTATTTTATTATACACACCAACCATCAAGGGAACTTAAAAGGGGAAAAAAAGAAAAACAATTGCAAAAAAAAAAATCACAGATTTTATTACAAACTGTAGTTCTGCTGTCCACCAGCAGGTGGTGACATGTTCACATGAAGCCTCATGAACTGTGGGGATCGTTGAAGCAATTTGGCCAAACGGTTCAATGAGGCTTCATCTCACCATCACTAATGTTTAGGCATTAACAGAATTTATTCCAGTCATGTTTAAGAAAATCGAATTTCAGAGGAAAGATCTCACCTTCTAATCCAGGCCCTTTTTCATCCTGAGCTGCAGAACCAGCTTCTTCATGCTTTCTAATGTTAGCCAGGAGGTGTCTCACCCAAAGTTCCCAGTCAGCATTCGCCCGTCAGCATCACCATATAAGGTGATGCCAGACCCACTCTGGTTCTCAGATGCCAACAGAAGGATGTTCATTTGACTGACTTACACAGAAACAGAACAGATTAACACTTATTTAAAACCAAATATTCAATAAAAAGAGATTAATCTGCAACAGCACATATGGTCCTTTGTCTATTATTTCCTTAAAGGAATAGTACACCCAAAACATGATTAGCCTTCATTTTCTACTCCCCCCATGCTGAACAACACTCTGGAGTACTTTTTTGATATCTCAAATGCATCTGGAGATCTGGGAGGCTTCTTGCTGTCTGCTGACATTCAAATAATGGAGGTCTATGGCGCCCGAGACAGAAAGGTCCATAAAAGTCCACAAAAAACGTGTCAATATTCCTCCATACTGCTCGTCCAATGTATTCCAAGTGTCCTGAGTGGGTAGCGTCCATAATTTACTCGAAACGAAGTCATTTAGAATGTTTTTAGAGCATAAACAGTAGTGTATAGGACTTCCTGAAAGCGCGTTCACGAGTCTACGGAAACCGCGGCAGACCAAACCAGATGAAAGTGCGCATTCAGCGTCTGCTCTGCCGATAATGCAAGCGTAGAAGAAGAAATGTGCTGTTTACCTGTGCAAAGAAAGAAACAACGAAAGAAAAATGTCTGAGGACTTCAGTGTTGAGGAAGAGCATGAGTTCTTTGCCGAGCTGAATGCGCACTTTCATCTGGTTTGGTCTGCCGCGGTTTCCGTAGACTCGTGAATGCGCTTTTAGGAAATCCTATACACTACTGTTTATGCTCTAAAAACATTCTAAATGACTTCGTTTCGAGTAAATTCTGGATGCTACCCACTCAGGACACTTGGAATACATTGGACGAGCAGTATGGAGGAATATTGACACGTTTTTTGTGGACTTTTATGGACCTTTCTGCCTCGGGCGCCATAGACCTCCATTATTTGAATGTCAGCAGACAGCAAGAAGCCTCCCAGATCTCCAGATGCATTTGAGATATCAAAAAAGTACTCCAGAGTGTTGTTCAGCATGGGGGTGAGTAGAAAATGAAGGCTAATCATGTTTTGGGTGTACTATTCCTTTAAACTCTCTTAAAAAAAAAGAATGACATCCCATAGTTATTCCACATTCCAAAAAAATAAATAAATAAAAACAATCCACTGGACTTTTTCTAAGTCTGAAGACAGTTTCGTTTCCAATTCAGAAAACTTTCTCAATTCAACATTTCTGGAGTAGTGTGGATCTACAGGCTTTATAAAGTTGCTTTCTTGCTTGGAAAACATGTAAATTAAACGGAAAGAACAGGTCCACCCCTCTGTGATGAGGAGTCGTTAGGGTCGTTCTTGGTCTGACCCCCTACATGAAAATTAGGGTTGAGATGATAGCAGGAAGGAATCAACTCTACTGCTGCATTGTAAGTTTTTGAGAGCTGAAACCACAGTGCTCCACAAATGCTGCGGCTCATTCAGACACAACTTTAAAGCTAAGCCATGCTGACTTTCTCATAGCCATCCCTGAGAAACGCTCTGACTTCAGAGCCTGTTCTTATCCATCACCTGGAAGTTTAAAAAATACTCTAAGCATTTTCTTCCCATGAATAATCTTACCCAGAGAACAGAAGTGGACAGTTAGAAGATCTGAGTTGTAGCTGAATGATAACGACACAAGATTTTTTTTCTTTTTAAGATCACTTTGTGGCTTGATTTGCTCCTCCTGATATCTTCTGTCCTTTTAAAGGAGTCAAATAGTCAGTATTTTAAATATAGGGTCCTTCTGAAATGATCTTTAAATTCATGTTAACTCTTTATAGGGCACTCGGTGAAATACTTTGAAGATCAACATTTCAAGCCAATAGTGTTTCTGGAATCCAGGACAACACCTTGTTACTTCTGTAACGTTAAAAAATATAGATATTTTGATGGCAAAATTCATCTTAATGTAATAACAAGAAAGCACACTTTCCCTAATATATTAATATTGTTCATTTTATTTCTATAGCGCCAATTTATAACACATCATCTCAAGGCACTTTATAGTTCAAACAGTTCATAAAGTTAAATTGATTCAAATTTTCTAAGGAAAACCAGCTGATTGCATCGACTCATTGACTCTTCAGCAATCCCTCACACTAAGCATGCTTGTAGCGACAGTGGAGAGGAAAAACTCCCTTTGAACAGGAAGAAACCTCCAGCAGAACCAGGCTCAGTGTGAGCGGCCATCTGCTGAGGCCCACTGGGGTTCAAGGAGACAGAAGCAGACATAGAAAAAGAAGCATAGATACAAAAGGCAACTGTCAACCAGCTCCACAGGCGGCCCCGTCCAGGAAACACACAGCCAGGCAGACGAGCTCCGAGCCAGCTCCCATGTCAGAGGATGAAGAGAGCACATCCAGTTAGTCACAGTCAGAGAAACAGGACTGCACTGGAAAAACATCCATATTGAACATATATAAACAAAGGCACAGGAAAAGTGCCGATATAAAAAGAAACACATTCGTTTTGGTACAACATAGCCTTAGAGCATTAATGCTGATACACACATTTTTTTAATTTTGTAACTTAGCTTATCAACTTTTTAACTTTACTTTTGAACTTTTCACATAGCTTTTTACCTTTTTGTCTTGACTTGTTAACTTTTTTCCAACTTAATTCCCAGTAGGCAATATATCATCCAAGGGCTCATCTAATTGGTCAAATGCCAAAATGAAATTGTTCTAACCTTCTTCTCACCGGCTCTGCAGAGTGCTCCTGTTCTCCAGTCGGCTCCCTGTCCGTTTTGTGTGACCCTGTGACCGGGATGTGTCCCTGTCGCCCCCATTTCCATGGCCTGACCTGTGACGAGTGTTCAGAGGGCTACTGGAGACCACCGCAGTCAAAGCGCTGTGAACCCTGTGGCTGTGACCCCACCTGGTCGATCAGTGACACCTGTGACCCGGTAGGACCTGCACTGCCGACAGACTTACTGTAGAAAAGGCGTCTTGTCCAATGAGTGTCACAAAGCTTTTAGAAACACATTTCAATTTAGAAAAAAAGACTTGAATTTAATCAGCTTTTTAGCATTAAAGGATTTAGCAGGGGTCCAAATACACACAATTAGTTTATTAGAATAAATTTGGTGGAAAACAGAAAATTGCCAGAAGTATAAATGTTAGCGTCTGCTTAGGACTAACTGTAAGAAAAACATGTTTCACCTTTTATCACCTGGAAGGACACTAGAACACTGTCGGTTTGTTTGTTTGCAGAAGACAGGCCGGTGTGAATGCAGAGCAGGCTTTGGAGGAAGAACATGCACTGAATGCGCAGACAACACATATGGATCCCCTCTGTCTGGGTGCCGACGTGAGTCTCCTTCTCTTAAGGCTGATATCAGTCCGTCAAGATCCGTTCGGGGGTTTCTAGGCTTCTTTGATCAAAGCTTTTTTTCTGGTACTTCATTAAAAATGACTCCTCTGATCCAGGCCAGACATTTATGGAAACAGGAGGATGCCAACTTTAGATTACTGCTAAATTCAGACGGCAAGAAGCAGGAGCAGCAAAAACGTGCGTGCTGCTTCATTTTTGATGCATGTACAAGTTTAGTTCTGATGCGCGGCTGAAGCATCTTTGCTGCTCTAGCTGTGGTCTGATGCGTGGTGGGCGGAGCTACCCTATCCTTTCTCTGCCTGGAACAATGGCGGCTATATTAGCTGTGATCAGCGGGTAGAAAGTAGTTAGAATCTATGTTGAAGTGAGAAAGTCCTCCTGAAAACATGGTCTGTGCAGTCAGTTCATCCAGATTACCATCCTGCCTTCAAAGATTATTTCTCTGTGGGAGCCTATGTGCGTCAACCATCGACTTTGCATGCAGACCCGGCTGCAGAAAGAAATCAAAGGGGGGGGCACACTTTTTCCAGCAATAATTTGATTTACTCCAAGCTTAACACTAGCTTTGTGACCATTCATTCAGTAAAATAAATCTCAAATCTTTATAAAAACATTTATTAAAATTATTTTAAAATCTTTTAAGAATAATTTGCTGAATTAGAAATCAGCATTTGTTTTATTCTTAGTGTTAGAAAAAAATGTGTCCTGACAGGTTTTCTGAACCATGTTCTAATGTCTCCCCCAGCTGCTGGTAGAAACAATATTTTTTACAATCATTCAGAAACTGGATACGTGTTACATCTGTATTTTGTATTTTATTGAACATTGTTATTGATAAAATTTTAGGTACAATTAGGTCCAGATTAAATAGTCACAGATCCACAAAATATAAAAAATAAGCAATAGTGTAGTGCTGTGGCCATTCAAATAACTCAAAAGTTAACTCCTAGTTTGAATCAGAGTCTTTCAAAGTGAACTATTTAGAAATCTGACTGCGGGTTATAAAGTCTGACCTCATAAAACACAGAAATGTGTAACTTTGAGCTTAAACCATTCAGTCAGGGGCATTATTCAGGTTTAAATGTTCTGTGCTCATTTGACTTTTTATTTTTTTTAAGAGACACAGATTACCCTGCAGGAGAAAGAGAAAGCCTGCAATATATAATATTTACACTGGGAAACAAACAGCATTAAGACTTTCATATATCTTATTAGCCCTTTTTAGATGAGCTTTGTAGTGAAATACGTTTGCTTTAGGAAATGTAAAGCTGATGTATTTGCTAACCTTTTCTGTGTAAATTCAAGCTGGACCCAGTCCAGGCACATAGATCACATATATGCTGGACTGACTATATTGCACCTGAAACTCTATTGTCAACATTTGTATAACTGACAGAATGAGAGAGGAATAATATAAAGCTAACTACGCTGAGTTAAACGGAAAAAAAAAGAAAAAAGACAGCTGCCAGTCCAGGGTGGGCACGGGCACCTCCGTGGGCGGGCACGGCCCCACAATGCCCGCCCATGCCGCCGGGTCTGTTTGCATGTTAACTAGCTGCTTCTGCTGCCTCTGCTGCTTGAGGTCTGAACGTAGCATAACAGGAAACATTGCAGATGGATCAGTGGATTAAATGTGCAGATTTGGTAAATTCTGAAAACAAGCATTTAAACTCAAACTGGCAGTGTCCAGATTCAGAGATGGAGAGGGAGGGATGATTTCTTGTAGATTTAATAATGATGTTGATAGTATAGAAGTAAATTAGGGATGCAGGATATAATGGGCCCCCTATCGGTATCGGCCTTAAAACTGAATATCGGACATCGGCCACCCCACCGATATTTAACCCGATATTTGATCAGCTTCTGAGTTTCTAAAGTCTAAAAAAAAATAAAATACTATTTCTTCTTCTTCCCCAAAAACTTCTTTTTTACAGACTTAAAAACTTCTAAAGACGAGGGAAAAAATATTGATCCATTAAAATATCCCACTATCTTCATATGCTGATATATTGCCATTTAAAAACACCATATCAATCTCTTTTACTAATGAAATATTGCTATATGTCATCGTTATGCTACGAAATCCCCCGAAAATTCACCAAATGTTGCCATATTTTTATATGTTGATATATTGACGCGGTATCGATCTATTTTACTAACAAAATCTCACAAGAATTTGCAAAATATCACGAGAGTTTGTAACAGAACGATGAAATTTCACCAGATTTTGAAAGTAAAATAGATCAATACCGCGTTTTTAAAAATTCAATTCAATTCAATTCAGTTTATTTATATAGCGCCAAATTCACAACACATGTCATCTCAAGGCACTTTCCAGTTCAACCAGATCATACAGTCAAATTGATACAAAGTTTTCTATCTAAGGAAAACCAGTTGATTGCATTGACTCATTGACTCAAATACAATCCCCCACACTAAGCATGCTTGTAGCGACAGTGGAGAGGAAAAACTCCCTTTTAACAGGAAGAAACCTCCAGCAGAACCAGGCTCAGTGTGAGCGGCCATCTGCCGAGGCCCACTGGGGTTCAAGGAGACAGAAGCAGAGTAATCCTGAAGGTTATTAGAAAGTGGTCAGAGAGGACAGGGTTGTGAGGAAATACTGTTATTTCTTCACATTCTATGCCGTATGTCAGCACAAGATCCAAAGTATGAAGATGAGAATGCGTGGGACTATTCACATTTTGAACAAAGCCAATAGTGTCTAAGATAGCATTAAAGGCTGCTCTTAAGCTATCGCCTTCAATGTCAGCATGGATGTTAAAATCTCCCACTATGATGACCCTGTCAGTATTTAATACCAAATCAGAAAGGAACTCTGAAAACTCATCTAAAAATTCAGAGTAAGGACCTGGTGGACGATACAAAGTTACAAAAAGAAGAGGTTTTCTTGCCTTGAAATTTGGATCAGGGAAATTAAGGGTTAAATGTTCAAAAGAGTTGTAGGAATTAATTGTTTTGGGAGTAATCAGTAAGTCAGACTGGAAGATTGTTGCTACTCCTCCTCCTCGCCCAGAACTTCTGGGGATGTGAAAATTTAAATAGCTTGAAGGAGTTGAAAAAATCTATTTGATATCAGCATATGAAAATATATTTGAGTATATTATTTTTCAAAGTGTCAGAAATGGATAACAAAACAGCTATTTTCAATGACTACTTATTTTTGTCCAGCTTTAACATCGGTATCGATATCGGTTATCGGCTACATGAGTTTTAAAATAGCGGATATCGGCCAAAATCCCAATATCGTGCATCCCTTAAGTAAATAAACCAGAAAGCACAGGCAAGGAACTCAGGAATCAGAAACTAGAAGACGCAAAGGGACACTAACATTAGGAATGAAGCAATGAAGACAATCCAGCAAAGATGAACTGCACAGGAGGTTTATATATAGGAGACAGAACAAAAGATGAATCAGCTGATAGGGAGCAGGCGGGGAAAGGAGCTACTAAAGAGAATCTAAGGGGAAAGAAAAGAAACACTAGGGGGCAGCAAAGAATAACCAGTATCTAACTGTAACTAGGAAAGAAGCTTAAATTAACTAAAGGTAAATAAAACTAACGATTGACTAATTGAATTACTTAGATTTAAACTTTTTGCAGCGCTGTTCCTATTTCTTTTCTGGCTTTCTGTGTTTTTGAAACAAAGAGACGATTTGAAGTGTTTATGGAGATTGATTTGTTTGTTTGACCCACAGCTTGTCAGTGTGATGTAGATGGGACCCTTCCAGGAGTTTGTGACAGGAAGACCGGAGCGTGCATGTGCCGGCCGGGTGTCACCGGGACACGCTGTGACTCGTGTAAACGAGAGCACTGCGACTCTTTCCCTGCCTGCGAACTTTGCCCAAACTGTTTCTTCACCCTGGACTCCCAGCGAAAGAACCTCAGCCTCGCTCTGGAGAAACTCGCTTCCAGGGGTCCATCTCTTCCCGGAGGCACCGGCGATCTTGGAAATCTGGGGCCACGCATTCGGGCTCTTGAGGCCAGCCTAAACTTGATCAGAGACTCTGTGTCCCAACCATCCAGCACTGCCTCCCAGCTTGATGATGCCCTGAGCCAGCTGGACAAACTGGAGTGAGTTCACTGCAAAAAATTGAATTCTAAATAAGTAAATTTTTCTTAAAATAGGTGCATTTTTTTTCTTAAATTGAGACGCAGGTGAGACAAATTCTTATTTATTTCTAGATTGTTTTTGCAGTTTTGCTTTTGGAATTTTTTGTCTGTGCACTGCAAAAACAACAAAGAAATAAGTAGAAATGTCTTAAATTAAGTGTATTTACCCTTAATTGGAGCAGGTTAATAAGACGGAATGAGATTTTATACACTTAAAATAAGACCATTAAAATAATAAGACAATTGTTGTTTTTTTTCTTATTTTATTGGCAATTCAAGACAAAAAGCACCTATTTTAAGAAAAAAAAAGACATATTGAGATTGACATTTTTTGCAGCGTGATAGTTTTGTTTTGTAGAGAGATCATAATTATGCACTATTTGCCTGCACTGTTTTGTTTTGAGCTGCTAAAAGATTGTTATAACCATGAGGAACAATGACAAATAAGTTTGAATCTAGTTTAAGTCTTTAACAGAGGGGGGGGGGAGGGGGGGCGTGAAGGGAAGAAATTCAAGATCAAAATCAACTATTTAACATAGAAAAAACTAATTTCCTGTCATTTCAAAGAATCCAAGCCATTTCTCATTGGAAAAAACATGCAGTTTAATTCAAAGGGAAATAATTGTTTTTATTATTTAGGGAAAATCAATTTAAACCAGAAATGTTATAATTTTGCTATGAACAGACAAATTATTGTTCTTTGTTTTCACTTTTTCTGTGTGGTGTTTTTTTTTTTTTAACCAACTCCAACAAGTGCGCTAATAAAGCAGACTTACTCTGTTAGGCCAGGTTATTGTTCCCTTTAAGACTTTATATTGGTTTATGAGCCCAACATTAATGTTTTTCCTCCGATGCATCACCTGATTAGATAAAACAGGTTTTTTCTCTCACTTCTAATCACCTTTTTTGTTTTTCTGCAGGGATGAGATAAATAGAGTGAATGATAATCTTCCTTCTCCAGTGAGAGATCCTGGTTTGAAGTCTGAGCTGGATAAAATACAAGCTCTGCTGGATAGCCTCTCTTTGATTTATGACGCCAAGGCAGGAGGAGGCGGGACCGACCCCAGCAGCACAGGTCAGCTCTACCAACTTTCTCTGGGACGGATCCATCTTTAGTGTTTGAAATAAAAGCTGCTAGAAGATATTATCATCATCGTCAGAACTGGACAGACTTTGAGATTTTCTCCTTTTTTTCCTACAGAAGCACTTGACGCCGTCAAGAAGGCGTATGATGAATCGACAGAAGCAGAAAAGAAGGTGGATTCTACTGAAGACACGGTGAAGCAATCCAGTGACATCAGAGAGGAGGCAGAGGACCTTCAGGGCCAAGTGCAGCCGAACAACACCAGAGACCTGAACAAGCTAAAGCAAAACATGGCCACCCAACCAGACCTGACTCCTGTGGCTAAACAGGTATCAACCATGAAGAAGCTGCAGCTTTATAACAATCCTGAAACTGGGAAAGAAACAATTTAATTCATCCACAATGCAGAAATGATCTAGAAATAAGAAATTCTTCATTTAAGTGTATTTACCCTTAATTTGAACCGGTGAATGAGATGATTTGCCATTGGAAATAAGATAATTAGATGATGTGCGCTTGAAATGAGACATGCAACAGTTTTTTCTCATTTTAAATGTAAATTGTCTTGTTGCACTGGCAAAGTGTTTCACTTACCTCAAGAAAAAAATGCATGTTATGTTATTTTAAGAAAGAAAAACTTATTTAGATTTCAGTTTTTTCCATGCAATAAAAGAAGCATGACAGGAATAAAAGTGAAAAACAGCAGCAGCAGATTAAACTCTCAAATAAAGCCTTAAATTGCAGCCAATCATCTCACCAGTCTCATCTAATCTGCTCCCTGTGTAGCTCCTATCTGATTGTGACTGTTTTCCAGGTGTGTGGCAGTGTTCGGTCAGAGCCCTGCACCCCTCTGCAGTGTGCAGGGGAAGCTTTGTGTCCAGCAGAGGGACACCAGGCCTGCAAGGACGGAATAAAGTGTGTTGGCGCTCTACCATTGAGCCAAAAGGCTGATGCTGATGTGATGGATGTGAAGGACCGACTGAGCAACCTTAGCGCCAAGATCACAGAGGCTACCCAGATGGTAAGCTGCCTGTCCCCCAATACGCTGCAAAAACTGGCTAAAAATAAGTAAACATTTCTTAAAATGAGTTGATTCACCGTTAATTGAGTAGGTAAATAAGATGATCTGCCAATGGAAGGAGTATTTTTTACACTTAAAAGAAGATCATTAGACTTGAAGTAAGACAAATCAGTTTGTTTTTTTTGTCTATTTATTTAATGTAAATCATCCTATGCCATTCAATTCAATTCAGTTTATTTATATAGCGCCAAATTCACAACACATGTCATCTCAAGGCACTTTACAGTTCAACCAGATCAAATTGATACAAAGTTTTCTATCTAAGGAAAACCAGTTGATTGCATTGACTCATTGACTCAAATACAATCCCCCACACTAAGCATGCTTGTAGCGACAGTGGAGAGGAAAAACTCCCTTTTAACAGGAAGAAACCTCCAGCAGAACCAGGCTCAGTGTGAGCGGCCATCTGCCGAGGCCGACTGGGGTTCAAGGAGACAGAAGCAGAGATACAAAAAGCAGCTGTAAAAGGCGGCCCCGTCCAGGAAACACACAGCCAGGCAGACAAGCTCCAAGGCAGCTCCCATGCCAGAGGATGAAGAGAGCACATCCACTCAGTCACGGTCAGAGAAACAGGACCACACTGGAAAACAGGCCGATCTCCAACATCTATAAACAAGGGTGTTGATGGCAGCAGCACAGCTGATGTTTCTTTCCAGGATGACGTCACAGCCAAACAGGAACAGACGAGGCAAAGCTACTCTGAGGAAAAGCAGAGAGAGCAGAAGGTTAGAGATTGAACTAACAGATTCTGCAGAATAGGAGAACAGAGAGAGAATGAAGCAGAATGATGAAATGGGGGTCCCTATGTCCTCCAAAAGTCTAAGCCTATAGCAGCAGAACTATAGAGATAGCTCAGGATAACCTGAGCCACCCTAACTATAAGCTTTATCAAAAAGGAAAGTTTTAAGCCTAGCCTTAAAAGTAGACAGGGTGTCTGCCTCACGGACTAAAACTGGTAGTTGGTTCCACAGGAGAGGAGCCTGATAACTAAAAGATCTGCCTCCCATTCTACTTTTAGAAATTCTAGGAACCACTAGTAAACCTGCAGATTGAGAGCGAAGTGCTCTGTTAGGAACATAAGGAACAATCAGATCTCTGATATCAGATGGAGCTTGGCCATTTAAGGCTTTATATGTGAGAAGGAGGATTTTAAATTCTATTCCGGATTTAACAGGAAGCCAATGAAGAGAAGCCAGGATAGGAGAGATATGATCTCTTTTTAATTTTCATTAGAACTCTGGCTGCAGCATTTTGGATCAGCTGAAGGCTTTTAACTACAGTTTGTGGACTTCCTGATAGTAAAGAATTACAATAGTCCAGCCTTGAAGTAACAAATGCATGGACTAGTTTCTCAGCATCACCCCTGGACAGGATATTTCTAATTTTTGCAATGTTCCTCAGATGAAAGAAGGAAATTCTAGAAACCTCCTTGATATGGGACCTAAATGACAGGTCCTGATCAAAAACAACACCAAGATTTTTTACTTTATTATCTGAAATCAGTTTAATCCCATCCAAATGAAGTGACTGGCTAATCAGTTTCTTTTTCAGAGACTCTGGTCCAAAGACTATAACTTCTGTTTTGTCTGCATTCAGAAGCTGAAAGTTAAGAGTCATCCAGGTTTTTATGTCTTCAAGACATGCCTGTAATCTATGTAATGGGTTAGCTTCATCTGGATTTATAGACAGATATAGCTGGGTATCATCAGCATAACAGTGGAAATTAATCCCATGCTGTCTAATAATTCTACCAATTGGGAGCATGTATAAAGTAAAGAGAATTGGTCCTAGCACTGATCCCTGTGGTACTCCACAGGTAACCTTTGAGCGTGTTGAAGATCTATCATTAACATGAACAAACTGAATTCGATCAGATAGATAAGATTTAAACCAGTCTAGTGCTGTTCCTTTAATTCCAACAAAATATTCAAGTCTTTCTAAAAGAATATTATGGTCAACTGTATCAAATGCAGCACTAAGATCCAACAGGACGAGCACAGATACAAGTCCATTATCTGAGGCCATGAGAATATCATTAGTGACTTTCACCAGAGCTGTTTCAGTGCTATGATGAGCTCTAAAGCCAGACTGAAACTCTTCAAAAAGTTCATTATGGTGGAAGTGATCGCAAACTTGTTTGGCAACTACTTTCTCAAGAATTTTGGATAAGAAAGGAAGATTGGATATAGGTCTATAATTGACCAAGTCATCTGGGTCAAGAGACGGTTTCTTAAGCAGAGGTTTAATTACAGCAACCTTAAAAGCTTTAGGTACATATCCCTGTAACAGAGATAGATTAATCACATCTAAAATGGAGGAGGAGATCAAAGGGAATACCTCCTTAAATAACCTGGTTGGAACTGGATCTAACATACAAGTTGAAGGCTTAGATGAAGACAATAATTTTGCTAATTCAGAGAGTTCAACTGGATCAAAGCAGTCTAAACCCAGTTCAGATTCCATGACTACCTCAGGTACAATCGCGGATAGAGGAGTGCTTATGATCTTATTTTTAATAAAATCAATCTTATTTATAAAGAATCCCATAAAGTCATTGCTGCTAAGAGCAGGTGGAATGGACGGTTCAACAGAGCTATGGCTCTGGGTGAGTTTGGCAACTGTATTAAAAAGAAATCTAGGATTATTCTTATTCTCCTCTATTAATGAGGAGAAGTATGCTGCTCTTGCTTTACAAAGGGTCCTCTTATACAGCAGTAAACCATTTTTCCAGACTAGGAAGGACTCTCGCAGGCCTGTGGAGCGATATTTTCTCTCCAGTTTCCTAGCATTTTGCTTCAAAGTACGCAGCTCTGCATTAAACCAAGGAGCAAGCTTTCTATTTTTAACGGTTTTCATTTTCAAAGGAGCTGCGTTGTCTAAGGCAATACGCAGAGAACTAGCAACCCCATCAACAAAATCATCAACCTGTGAAGGGGAATAAGCTAAACTTTTGCACTCTGCAGCACTGCTCAGTGACACAGAGGAGAGAGAAAGTGAAGCAGATTCTTTAAAATTTATAACTGCACTATCTGATAAAGATCTACTAAAATTGAACCTTCTTTTGGGGGAGGAGAACTCTGTTAAAGTAATCCTGAAGGTTATTAGAAAGTGGTCAGAGAGGACAGGGTTGTGAGGAAATACTGTTATTTCTTCACATTCTATGCCGTATGTCAGCACAAGATCCAAAGTATGAAGATGAGAATGTGTGGGACTATTCACATTTTGAACAAAGCCAATAGTGTCTAAGATAGCATTAAAGGCTGCTCTTAAGCTATCGCCTTCAATGTCAGCATGGATGTTAAAATCTCCCACTATGATGACCCTGTCAGTATTTAATACCAAATCAGAAAGGAACTCTGAAAACTCATCTAAAAATTCAGAGTAAGGACCTGGTGGACGATACAAAGTTACAAAAAGAAGAGGTTTTCTTGCCTTGAAATTTGGATCAGGGAAATTAAGGGTTAAATGTTCAAAAGAGTTGTAGGTATTAACTGTTTTGGGAGTAATCAGTAAGTCAGACTGGAAGATTGTTGCTACTCCTCCTCCTCGCCCAGAACTTCTGGGGATGTGAAAATTTAAATAGCTTGAAGGAGTTGCCTCATTTATGCTCACATAATCCTCTTGCTGCAGCCAGGTTTCTGTAAGGCAAAACAAGTCAATGTGATTATCACAAATCAAGTCATTAACTAGTAGACTTTTAGAGGAAAGCGATCTTATGTTAAACAGACCGCATTTAATTGTTTTAACTTTTTCCCCAATTTGAGTTATTTTGATTTTAATTAGATTATCATGATTTACTCCTTTGGGAATCTTTGCTAATTTATTAGATTTTGGTCGTGGGCAAGACACTGTCTGGATGGAGTAAAGAGTGGGTAACAGTAGAGAAGCTGCAGAGATGTGTGTTAAACTACAACTCTGCTTCCTGGTCTGCACCCTGGGTGGTCAGGGTTTTGGAGGACTAATAAATGTGGCCAGATTCCTAGAAAGAAGAGCTGCACCATCCAAAGTGGGATGGATGCCGTCTCTCCGAATCAGACCAGGCTTTCCCCAAAAGGATTGCCAATTATTAATGTAGCCCACGTTGTTTTCAGGGCACCACCTAGACAACCAGCGGTTGAATGACGACATGCGGCTAAACATGTCATCACTGGTCAGATCAGGGAGGGGACCAGAGAAAATTACGGAGTCCGACATTTTTTTGGCAAACTTACACACCGAAGCAACACTAATTTTAGTGACCTCCGATCGGCGTAACCGGGTGTCATTACCACCAGCGTGAATAACAATCTTACTGTATTTAACCTTATCCTTAGCCAGTAGTTTCAGGTAGGATTTGATGTCGCCCGTTCTGGCCCCCGGCAAACATTTGACTATGGTCCCTGGTGTCTCTAATGCCACGTTTCTGACTATGGAGCTGCCAATCACCAGAGTGGGCTTCTCAGTGGGTGTGTCACTGAGTGGGGAAAACCGGTTAGAAACGTGAACGGGTTGGTGGTGACCAGTGGGCAGAGATCCACGACTACGCTTTCTGCGTACAGTTACCCAATCGCCTGGCTGCTCAGGCACTTTTGGAGGACAGCTACGTGGGGGGCCTACTTTAACTCCTGGATGTTCAACAGCCTGAAGCCTGGATTCTAACTCTGACACCCTCGCCTCCAAAGCTACAAAAATACTACACTTATTACACATCCCATTATCACTAAAGGAGGCAGAGGAATAACTGAACATCTGACACAGAGAGCAGGAGAGAGGAGAGGAAGAAGGAAGAGTTGGAAAAGAGTCAAGGGAGGGAGAGAGAGAAGCCATAGCAATGCTAAGCTAGCGCTAGCCTAGGCTAGCTACTTCTTGCTATCAGAAATAAAACCGTGTGAAACTGACAAGTGCTCAGTAGAAAAGTGCAGCAGAAGGTGCTATGTTTTAAAGTAGTCAGTTAGAGTTACTTAGATACAGAGATATCACAGAGAAAATAACTTAACTTCAGATGGAGATCCTCTGAACAGCTGCACACTCAGTTAATCCAAACAGGAAGTGAACAGGTCCAAACAGGAAGCCATTGACAAAGAAACTCACTTACCTGCTTAATTTAAGAGAAAATGCACTTATTCTATACCTCTATACCTTATTTAGGGGAGTGGCGACCTGGTGGTTAGAGCTTGGAGTCCTGAGGTTCTGAGTTCGAGCCCCACTCCCAGAATACCACTCTGGGTCCCTAAGAAAAGAGCCCTAACCCCACACTGCCTCCCGGGCGCCGCACAATGGCAGCCCTCTGCTCCCCAAAGGGATGCAATAAAAGCAGACAGTGGATTACGTTGCTTTGAACTTGTGACACAATGCAAAAACTAGCTAAAAATGAGCAAAAATGTCTTAAATGAAGTGAATTTACCATTAATTTGAGTAGACAAATAAGACGATATGCCAATGGAATGAGTAGTTTTACTCTTGAAATAAGATAATTAGATAATATGCACTTGAAATAAGTGAGGGCAATTATTTTTTCTTATTTTAAATGTAAATTGGCTTGTACAATTGGCAAATTGTCTGACTTACCTCCTCAATTCAAGAAAAAATGCACATATTGTAAGAAAAACTGACTTATTTAAATTGTAATTTTTTGCAGTGTAGCATCATGGCAATAAAGTTGAATTCTATTCTATAATTTTTTTTGCAGAGCAGCTTTGCTGCAAAGCAAAAACAATTCTTTTCCCTTCTGCTTATTTTATCTAAACTTTATTTCTCTCTACAGCTTCAGGAGACACAGAAGGAAACAGATCAGGTGAAAAAATTAGCAAAGGACCTGGCTGATGATTCTAAGAAGGCCAGGGATGAGCTGGACGAGGACTTAAAGAAAACACGGGACGTTGTTAAAGAGCTCAAAGACTTTCTGTCAGGTAAATAATGTAATTCCTGGCTGCAAGGACTGGTCAGGGTAGAAACTGTGGTCAAATATTAAACCTTTCTTTGCATTTAGACCCATCCTCCAACCTGACCAAGGTCCAGGAGGTGAGTGACTTCATCCTGAAGGCCAAGCCGCCCATCAGTCGGCCCGAGCTGAAGGAAAAACTGGAGGAGCTTAAAAAGCTGGCTGCAAATTTACCAAGTACCGTAAATGTTCTGGAGGAGGCAAAACCACAGCTGGAAGCAGCCAAGAAACTGCTGCAGGAGGCAGAGGAGGCCAGGTGAGCCCTTATACCGCAAAGAAAACGCATCAGACGGTAACAGGAAGTGAAAAACAAGCAATTATCTCTCCTTCACTGATGGGAGAGTTTGGGGTTAGCATGCAGGTTATTGCTAAACTAAGGAAGGCGTAATGCCTTCAAAAAAATCAGACAGCTTAGAGGTATCTCTTAATTATTAATTAATTACGAGGTAAGATCTAATAATTACAATATTTTATCAATATATTTGGTCATGATTACTTGAGCCGGTAATGAAGCTTCTCTCAGAAACTGGTCTTCATGATCACTTCTTAAAAATATCTGCATCTGTTCCACTGAACAGTTCTCCAGGTCTGACCTGATGTGTGTTGGAGCTCCGCTCCTGTTTTCAGCTACATCAATTAAGTATCCAGCTGTAACCCTGGGATGAGTAAACATGCAGCCATATGACAATACGTGGAAACTTGTCAACAGCTCCGTTAATTAGGGATGCAGGATATAATCGGCCCCCTATCGGTATCGGCCTGTATCGGCCGATATTTAACCCGATATTTGATCAGCTTCTGAGATTCTAATGTCTAAAAAAAAGAATACTACTATTTGTTCCTCAAAAACTTTTTTTTTACAGACTTAAAAACTTCTAAAGACGAGGGAAAAAATATTGATCCATTAAAATATCCCAATATCTTCATATGCTGATATATTGCCATTTAAAAACACCATATCAATCTCTTTTACTAATGAAATATTGCTATATGTCATCGTTATGCTACGAAATCCCCCCAAAATTCACCAAATGTTGCCATATTTTTATATGTTGATATATTGACGCGGTATCGATCTATTTTACTAACAAAATCTCACAAGAATTTGCAAAATATCACGAGAGTTTGTAACAGAACGATGAAATTTCACCAGATTTTGAAAGTAAAATAGATCGATACCGCGTTTTTAAAAATCTATTTGATATCAGCATATGAAAATATATTTGAGTATATTATTTTTCAAAGTGTCAGAAATGGATAACAAAACTGCTATTTTCAATGACTGCTTATTTTTGTCCAGCTTTAACATCGGTATCGATATCGGTTATCGGCTACATGAGTTTTAAAATATCGGATATCGGCCAAAATCCCAATATCGTGCATCCCTACCGTTAATATGTTGGTTTTAGTTAGTCATATAAATTGACCTGCTGCATGAAGTTGGGACCTCAGCTTTACTCCTTCAGGATCTAGGATTTTTAAGCAGGTAATTATTTAAAGAAATGACTTACCTAGATTTTGATTTTTTTACAGTGTGTGAGATAAAATCTCATTATATTGAGAGCATTAGTTAACTTGTAATTTTGTGATAAGCTGTCTGATATTTTTTTCTTAGGTGAGTGCAATACAATTCCTTACTAAATATTCATGTTTATTCCTCCAGTATAAATGCTGCTGTTTAAAAACACTTTTATAGATGTTAGAGGAACAACTTCAGTAAAAGTGTAAAAGTCACATTTTTAAAACTACTTGAAGTATAAAAGTAAAAGTAATGCAGGAAAAACTGTTAAGGCCAGAATCTTTACCCCTGTTGCTACCCGATCCGTACCGGTAGCACGATCCGTACCATCAGCTCATTTGCGCCTGCGCGAACAGAATAACTTCCGGATGGCAGCAGTCCATTGTATTGCTTGACGTCATTTTTCTGGAATAAAAATCCAAATTTTCGGGAAATGTTCCCTTATCAATGAAAAACTGCAGGTCACGAAAGGTAGCAAATGAATCCATTAATGGGATCAGTACTGCTGGAGTGCATAGTTCAGTACAGAGTAAATCAAATATTTAAACAAATTTAAATATATACGCTGTGTGACGTATATTTGCGCATGCTCAGAGCAATCAAAGTAACTATCACAAGGCGATTGAACTTTTTTATGTATTTCTGATTTTTTATTTTTAGAAAATGCAATATTGACGAAAATACAAAGATATACAAAAAGGAACCCATGCCTCTAAAAAATACAAAAGAATAAAAAAGTAAGAAAAAGGAAATATTGCCACCGGAAGTTATTCTGTTTGCGCACGCGCAAATGAGCTGATGGTATGGATCGGGTAATGACAACCCCCCCTACCCTATTAAAGGAACATTTTTCTACAATTGTGGATGATAACTTCCATAGACTTTATTTTCTCAGTTTTATAACTAATGGTAACTTTTAACTTTGCATCATCTTGAATAGCTGTTTATTTTGGTGAACAACAGGTTGGGGCAGCACCGAGTCCAACCACAAAGAAATTAATTGTCTGGATGAAACTAATTATTTTGATGGTTTTTATTTTATTTAAATACGAACAGGCCATAATGAAAATGGACTTAAATGAAAACTAATGACTCTATTTTTAAAATGTAAGGAGTAGAAAGTAAAAAGTTGTCTAAAAAATTGTTATTCCAATAAAATATAGATAGCCAGAATTTCTACTTAAATATAATGAAGTATTTGTTACTTGATGCCTCTGCTGCTAAGCTAGTTAGAATTTATATAAACTTGTTCTCGGCACCTTATGTTTGAATCTGTAACCAGCGTTTATGGAGCTGCACAGAGCAGCTTTTTACGAAAGCTAAAGCAATAAATGATGAACGTGTTAATGAGTGGGAAAACTGTTACTGTGGCACATTAACAGGGACAAGGCTCTGGAAGCCAAGGATGACGTCACTGAACTCCTGGAGGACTTGGATTCAAAGAAAAGTTCCTTCCCTGACTTGGAGGGAAAACTGCAGGACAGCATGGATCTCATCCAGAACCTGAACAAAGACCTGACCCAGGTAGGAAGATTAAACCCTCAGTTTAACATTCATTCATCAATTGAAGAAAAACTTCCCCTCACTGTTTAATTGATTCAATTCCTCGATGAAGGCTGAAGGCCAGCTGACGCCAGCAGAGAAAGCTCTGGACGATACTGGAGCGCTGATGCCGCCAATGAAGGAAACGGTAGACAGACTGAAAGAGCTGCTGCAGGACGCAGAGCAGAAGGCTCCTGATGCTCTGGAGGACGCAGGGGAAGCCGTGGAAAAGGCAGCCGCTGCAGAGCCGGTACGTTCCTCCAGCAAATAATAACCTAAACCCAGGGGGGGGGGTTAGGAAATGTGTGTGGGGCCCTAGGCAAAGACAGGCTGGGGGCCCAACAAATTAAAAAGATAACACATCAACCCATTCTCCAGATAGATAAATGTTAATAGAATAGACATCCATTATCTGTTCTAGGTTGTGTCCCTCTCTTCTTGTCCCTTTTCTTCTTGTTTTCCTCTCTATGTTTTGTACTCAGCTGACTTTTCATGCTGTCTCTAAAGGAATGAAAGATTTTTTCCAAGCACTAAGCTCACTTAGCTGATTGCTCCTTCCTGTGTTTCCAAAAAGGCCAAAGTAAATAACCCAGTCCTTCTTTTCACTGTAGACAAGCCATGATCTGCTTCTCTGTTCTCCATTTTTCATTTGGATGAAATAATAGCTGCATGAATCATGACAGCAGACAAGATAGAGGAGAGCAGGAGGCGGGGTTACCAATCTACTCGCTCTGGAGAGCAGAGTTCGCTGCTTTTAGATGTTGTCTCCAAAGTCTCCAGTAGCAGAAAAAAGTCTGTAGATTTGGCGCTAGGAGCTTTTTAGAAATCAAAGTGCTAGAGGGGTCTGAAAAGTGGCTAAATATAGCGACTAAAGCGCTAAGTTGGCAACACTGCTCTTTGCATGGTTTGTTTTCAAATGGTTTGCTGCTGTCTGTTTGGACCTTTCTGAACATGTGCAGCAAATGGACTGATCCAATATGGAGGACACTGGAGGGTATTAGCCTTTTATAAGACATTTTGTCTTATAAAAGGCTAATACCTGCTAACCACACATAAACAGTGGACACAGTTTTTTTTGCCAATGGGAAGGGACCCAAATGCCAATTGTTAGCGGGTCGACCCATCTTTGAAAAACATGCGGTAACCCCCTATTTTCTGTGGAAAGAGGCTGAAGTTTGAGTCTCTTCCCTCAAATGGGAGAGAACACTGATCCCATGTGGTTTCCTCACTCTCTGCCCCACAGAGCACCAAGTCAGGAGGAAATCATCTGCATTTAGGATCAGAAGAAATCACTGTTCCATCCTCGAGAATGAGGATAAATATTCTTATATATTTACTGATGGATGTTTGTTTATTTTGTAGGATCTGAAAGATTTGGAGGATAAAGTTGGTCAACTTAAAGACAAAGCAGATACTGGAGGGACTGGAGAGACGGACCCTGTGGGAGATAAACTGGAGAAACTGCAGGAGAAAGCTGTAGATCTGGCCAACACCACGCAGAATATGACAGATTCCCTGCAAGGTAACAAAGGAAATTTTATTCCTTTACTATCATGAACTGTGACAAACTTCTGTTTGTCAATTGTTACCTTTTAAGTTGCAGATTGATGCTGTAAATGTTTTCAGTTTTGTGCCATAATGACAGAAGTATCATTTAGAAAGTATAATTCATTCTCAATCTGTGACATCATCCCTGCTGGGTTTTTTTTAGGAAAAGCAGACTCTCTCAGAAGACTCCAGGAAGAGATCCTCCAGAAGTCTACGAAGCTTGAGGGACTCGATGCCAAGCTTCAAGACATCTTGAAAACTCTTCGATCTAAAACGGAGAAGCTGCACAGCTGTCAGAATTAAACCCGCTCCTACCAGCGCTCTCTGATCGTTATAACATACATCTTTTATATTTGCACTCTTTGCATCGCACTTTTTTCAGGAAAATCATTCTTTGTGCTGAAAGATCTTACTCTGCGTTTCACTCTGAGCTACGCTCCACTGTTGGAAAAAAAGGGACAGTATTTATTTTTTTTTGTCTTTACATTTTTATAATAAATGGTAGTTTTCTGAGAAACCTAAACCGTTTGGAGTTTATTTTCTTTATTAATGCTTTTTTTTCCCAAGAGAAACGGGAGGAGCATTAGATAACATATATATTACATGAAAACAATAAAAAAACTGTCATGTATGTTAAAATACAGTCTTATATGGCATGACTAGTGCTGACCAGGGATGCACCGAGAAATCTACAGCTGTCGTAAACCGGATGATTTATTCCACTGACAACAGTCTCTCCAAAATTAGGAATAATATTATTTCTTAATTAGCAGACACCACCAGGGGTCCATTTCAAGAAGCAGGTTTAACAAACTCAGATTCAAATCTGCAACTCTAAATTGATCTAGCCTAAAGTAGTGAACTCCAAGTTTTCAGTTTCACAGTGGCTGCTATGAATTAGTTCAATCAACTCTTAAGAAGAGCCACTTAGTTTAGCCCGTGTGTAACAAGTATGAAAAGCCGTTATCAGTATAGCACAGATTCAATTAATCACCACGGCAACAGAGAGTGCCTATTTCACCCCATTGGAACTAGAGATTTTAATACAGAATGAAAAAAATAGAGAACGTGTTGAAGACATAGAAACAGTGCTACATCTGCAAAGGAGGGGAAGATGGTGAAAGAGATTGTTGCTCGAGTTGCTCTATGGCAGGCCGTTCTTACATTTATTCAAATTACTCTCCTCTCTGTTGTTCCATTTGTAAATCACTAAAATAAGATTCTTCCTGATCAAAATCGAACTCTGAGACTGAACTGTAATATATTTTCTAAATTACATTTTTCTAGCAGAAACTGAATTTTAGAGAGTAAAGTAGTAAGAATTAAGGTGCTGTAGGAGATCTTGGTAAAACGGTTCCAGCAAGCTATATTTTTGAACATACATAACCATGCCTCCCCCTTCAGTCCACCCCTCGAAACCATGTCTTCAAAACACATGAACACGCATGCTGTCTGCAGCGCATCTACAGCAGCAGGAGCTGATCTGGGAGCTGGCAGGGAGTCAGACGCAGCACTGCTGATGCAGAGCGCTATGAACACTCCTCTGAAACAGTTTATTAACGCCTAAATTAACTTAAGATGCAGAAACCTGCCAGCAGAATATGTTCGCCTTTATTATCCTGCTGCCTGCAGTTTGGATTAGGTACATGAAAAATGCCTTCCTGCCGCCGCTGCAAAGCGCGCGGAGGCGACCGGGCTGCTGCTGGGGATTCCCAGTGACAGCGCAGCGCCGGTATGTGGGGGTCTGAGCGGCTACGACAGAAATAATCTTTGAAGGCAGGATGGTAATCTGGATGAACTGACTGCACAGACCATGTTTTCAGGAGGACTTTCTCACTTCAACATAGATTCTAACTACTTTCTACCCGCTGATCACAGCTAATATAGCCGCCATTGTTCCAGGCAGAGAAAGGATAGGGTAGCTCCGCCCAACACGCATCAGACCTGCTTTTCCATCGCACAGCCAGAGCAGCACAGATGCTTTAGCAGAGCGTCAGAACTAAACTGGTGCAAGCATCAAAAATGAAGCAGAACGTGCGTTTTTGCTGCTCCTGCTGCTTTAGGTTTGAACGTAGCATAATACTGGCTAGCTTCCAGTCATGGCCTTCTGCACAAGCACTGGGGGTTGATTCGTTCATGTCTCAGGGGGGAGGGACAAGCAGACGACCATGATTGACATGTCAGGAACCAATACTGGACCACACACCGTGTTTTATTCATTGATTTCTCACTGTAGCGGGACCATTTATTTTAGTTTTACTTCCAGAGCTTCTATTTCACTGCTGGCTAAGCGGCTGTGTGGAGATCTTTAAGCCACGTGGTAAAAAGGGCGTCAGAAAAGATCTCCCACTGCACCTTTAAGTTATACATTTAAAGTGGCCATTTTGATATTTATAGTGACTGAAACAGTGGTTGAGGAAACTCAGAGTTTACCCGATTTCGGGTTTAGAAAACTTAAGGAGTTTTCAGTAAACCTGCTTCTTGAAACAAACCCAAGGATGTTCTGACAACACCGGAAGTATTTCATCCTGAAGGAAGAAGATGAAAAGTTCTGCTTGGTTTCTACTCGATGCCTTTGTGGACTTTCCCTATAAGGGGTTAGGTCTGTCAATAAACGCATGGTGGGAGGCCATCCATGGCACAAAATCTTAAATGAATTTAAAAAAAAAACTGATTTTGGAAATCCAAATTTGGAATCTGTAAAAACACTTTTTAGCAGGTCAAGAAAAACACAGAAAATATGAATTAATCTAGAAATAACTGATCGGTGCATCTCTAGTGGAAGCAGCATCTTTCCACAGGCTTGTGGCACTTAATGACTTTCGTTAGAGGAGCAGCTTTAAAGACAGAGACAGAAAAACAAAAAAACATCAGCATTTTTTAGCATTAGCAGTAACACAGAGCACAGATGCATGTCCTGGTCTGTAAAACATTTTATGTTGAGAAACAACACTGAACACATGTGTTCATGTTTTTCAAACATTGTGGGGACCGGCTGCTCCTCATGAGGACCAATGCCTGATCGCACAGCTAATAATGCTGTTTTAGGCTAGGGTGTGAAATGAGTTTCGGTTAGGTTTAAACCCCTAATTTAAACCCTTAGGTTAGGTTTAAATCTGTAATTTAAACCATTAGGTTAGGTTTAAATCTGTAATTTAAACCATTAGGTTAGGTTTAAACCCATATTTTAAACCCTTAGGTTAGGTTTAAACCCCTAATTTAAACCCTTAGGTTAGGTTTAAACCCCTAATTTAAACCCTTAGGTTAGGTTTAAACCCCTAATTTAAACCCTTAGGTTAGGTTTAAACCCATAATTTAAACCCTTAGGTTAGGTTTAAATCTGTAATTTAAACCATTAGGTTAGGTTTAAATCTGTAATTTGAATCATTAGGTTAGGTTTAAACCCATAATTTAAACCCTTAGGTTAGGTTTAAACCCCTAATTTAAACCCTTAGGTTAGGTTTAAACCCATAATTTAAACCCTTAGGTTAGGTTTAAATCTGTAATTTAAACCATTAGGTTAGGTTTAAATCTGTAATTTAAATCATTAGGTTAGGTTTAAACCCCTAATTTAAACCCTTAGGTTAGGTTTAAACCCATAATTTAAACCCTTAGGTTAGGTTTAAATCTGTAATTTAAACCATTAGGTTAGGTTTAAATCTGTAATTTAAATCATTAGGTTAGGTTTAAACCCAATTTAAACCCTTAGGTTAGGTTTAAACCCCTAATTTAAACCCTTAGGTTAGGTTTAAACCCATAATTTAAACCCTTAGGTTAGGTTTAAATCTGTAATTTAAACCATTAGGTTAGGTTTAAATCTGTAATTTAAACCATTAGGTTAGGTTTAAACCCATAATTTAAACCCTTAGGTTAGGTTTAAACCCCTAATTTAAACCCTTAGGTTAGGTTTAAACCCCTAATTTAAACCCTTAGGTTAGGTTTAAACCCATAATTTAAACCCTTAGGTTAGGTTTAAATCTATAATTTAAACCCTTACGTTAGGTTTAAATCTATAATTTAAACCCTTAAATTAGGTTTAAACCTGTAATTTAAAGCCTTCGGTGAGGTTTAAACCCTTACCCTAAACCTAACTGGTAAGTGTCACAGTCAGGCTGTAGAAATGAGTTAGAAAAAAAACAGGAGTCAAATGAAAGTCCCCACAAGGATAGAGAAACACTGTGTGTGTCTGTTTTTATACAGTGATATAAAATAATCAGGTCATTATTTTGAGGCTGTGTGTGAAAAACTGAAATCTGAGATTACAAAATAAAGCGGGATTAAAAATCTGAGGAAATATCTCTATACTGGCCTTCAATGGTTTCCCAGCATAACCTGAAACAGCATAGATGAATAGAGCTGCGTTCACAAAGGACAGACTAGCAGATTAATAACTCGAATGAATCCCGGTTACAAGTGAAAACATCGTCGGAAGCGGTGGATCTCAGACTTCTGGCTGGGCCTTTTTTTTACACACCCCAATAATCCCAGCACTGGAAAAATGATCTAGAAATAAGGAAAACTTTCTTAAATGAAGTTTATCTACCCTTAAATGAGATAGTTTGCCAGTGGAATGAGTCGGTCATTCTTTATAATGCGGTGCCTTTTGCATCTCAATCCGTATTTTCTGTAAATATAAAGATGTTTTATAATATATAGAGTTCTTATTAAATACAAACTATGGTCTATTATATAATTAAGGACATGACACCTACTTTCTGCATTTTATTTTATTTTGTTTTGTGTGTGTTTTTTTTTGCCTTGTCCCCACTTTTTTATTTGTAAAAGTAAAAACAATCCGCTTTGTTTCAAAAAATATATAACCGCAGATGTCTGGGGGACAGTGATTGGCCTCCATGTTCTGAATGCTGGCGTACCATAAATGATAAATGATGAACAGTTTAGTTTGTGCCTTCAAGTCGTCGCCCATAGGAAGACGTTACCTGGATATATGTTCAAGTGTACAGCCTTGTTTTCAAGAGTAAATCTTATAATCTGCCAAAAAAACAAATCCCAAATGTTGACACCCAAAAGGCCCTGCATTTAAAGAATGACCCAAATTTTTAACTCTTAAAACAAGATAATTAGATAATATGCACTTGAAATAAGAGACAGCAATTGTCTTTTCTTATTTCAAATAACTGGAGAGCTCCATCAGTGACAGACTGCTGCACCTTAAATGCACCAGGGAGCGTTATCACAGATCCTTCCTCCCAGCAGCTGGAAGACTCTAGAACCACCACTGTTCCCAACAACCTCAGTAAATGGTTCCATGCATGCTGGTTTTGCAGTTTCTACCTCAGTCAGTTAAATAACCTGCTGCTGTCATTCTGCACATCTCTGATGTTGCTGCTATTTTCAAATATCCGTTACTGTAAAAATGTTCATAGCTGGATATTGGTTATTAATTCTCCAGGTGCAGTTTTATATAATTTCCCCACTGTGGGACAATAAATGGATTTTCTATTCTAAATGTAAATTGTCTTGCTCCATTGGCAAAATGTCTCTCTTACCTCAGTTCAACAAAAAATTCACTTAATTAAAAGAAAAAACTTATTTAGACTTACATTTTTGCAATAGAAAATGAAATATTGCAACAAAGACAGCTATTATTTCCTTTAAACTTGTTAACTGTTTATTTCAGCAACGATCAATAGATCAAAAAAATTATATTTATCAAAACTGGTAATAATTGATTTCTCCCAAGCCTCCCATGCAATTGAACTAGCTGCCCCCCCACTTTGAGAACCAGTGTTCTAGAAAATGCTGCTTTAATCACGCCTAAACAAACTCTGTGTCTAAACACAGTTCAAGGGTATGTTACATATGAAAATAAACTCTTAATGAATAAATGCATGACTTTGTGCATATTTGTGAGTAGCATGTCCCTCTGGCCCTTCATCATGTCTCTGAATCTGTAGTCACAGATATCACTTAAATGGGCTCGTTATCTGCAGCAAACAGCATGATGGAGTCAGTCGCAGGTGGCTTGATGAGGACGAGGCTCACGGATTCATAGAACAAGCTGCAAAAACAAATCAAGTGTGTGAAAATGGTGGAAACAAAGTTTCCTTGGAATTCGGGGAGCAGTGAGGAGATTTTACCTTCATTAGAGGTGATTCTGTTCGTCACATGAGCGTGCAGACTCCAGACTGAAACGGTTGTTCCTTCCTCTGAGCCACAACATCCAAGCTGAAAAGCAGCACACAGCCAGAATTCATTACACCAAAATAAAGCTCATTATGACATTTTAATCCTGGGAATGTTTGCCCCCCTGTGGTAACATACAAATACCACAGGGGGGCAATGTTTGCTAATGAATTCAAGCCATTAGCATGGGAAGTCCCATCCTTACACAGAGATCATAGTGGCCTTACACAATTGTTCTGATCAGAAAGACACATGATTAGCGGTAGGTCTGGTGGTAACCAGACAGCGTTAAAATTTCCCTTGAAATATATGATACTGGTTGCCTTCCTCAAATAAAATTTCGCTGTGATGGCAGAACATCTCCATTAATCTTCTTTTCGCAAGTCAGTTTGGTCAAGATTCCATTGTGTCTTTCTTTTTTTTTTTTTTTTTGTATTGCTGTGCAGAAAATTTGCAGCTGCTGGAAAATGTTTGCCTCTAATTCTGGCCTCCTTCTAATAATGGCCTGGACCAAGATGTACCTCTAATGGCCTATATTAGAGGATTTACGGTATGCATATGTGGATATGGACTTCGATAAATAATATTTGCACTAAAAACATTTCAGTTTGTGCTGTAGAAATGTGAGATTGACCTGGATATTATATTAAATTAAATATACAGGTGCTGGTCATAAAATTAGAATATCATGAAAAAGTAGATTGATTTCAGTAATTCCATTTAAAAAGTGAAACTTGTATATTATATTCATACATTACATACAAACTCATATATTTCAGATGTTTATTTTGTTTAATTTTGATGATTACAAATGACAACAAATGAAAATCTCAAATTCATCATATCAGAAAATTAGAATATTACTGAAGACCAATAAAAACAAAGGATTTATAGAAATGTTGGCCAACTGAAAAGTATGAACATGAAAAGTATGAGCATGTACAGCACTCAGTATTTAGTTGGGCCTCCTTTGGCCTGTATTACTGCAGCAATGCGGCGTGGCATGGAGTCGATCAGTCTGTGGCACTGCTCAGGTGTTATGATAGCCCAGGTTGCTCTAATAGTGGCTTTTAGCTCTTCTGAATTGTTGGGTCTGGTGTATTGCATCTTCTTCTTCACAATACCCCATAGATTTTCTATGGGGTTAAGGTCAGGAGAGTTTGCTGGCCAATTAAGAACAGGGATACCATGGTCCTTCAACCAGGTACTGGTAGCTTTGGCACTGTGTGCAGGTGCCAAGTCCTGTTGGAAAATGAAATCTGCATCTCCAAAAAGTTGGTCAGCTGCAGGAAGCATGAAGTGCTCTAAAACTTCCTGGTATGTGGCTGCGTTGACCCTGGACCTCAGAAAACACAATGGACCAACACCAGCAGATGACATGGCACCCCAAACCATCACTGACTGTGGAAACTTTACACTGGACTTCAAGCAACGTGGATGAAGTGCCTCTCTTCTTTTCCTCCAGACTCTGGGACCTTGATTTCCAAAGGAAATGCAAAATTTACTTTCATCAGAGAACATGACTTTGGACCACTCACCAGCAGTCCAGTCCTGTTTCTCTTTAGCCCAGGCAAGACGCTTCTGACGCTGTCTGTGGTTCAAGAGTGGCTTGACACAAGGAATGCGACAGCAGAAACCCATGTCTTTCATACGTCTGTGTGTGGTGGTTCTTGAAGCACTCACTCCAGCTGCAGTCCACTCTTTGTGAATCTCCCCCACATTTTTGAATGGGTTTTGTTTCACAATCCTCTCCAGGGTGCGGTTATCTCTCTTGCTTGTACACTTTTTTCGACCACATCTTTTCCTTCCCTTCGCCTCTCTATTAATGTGCTTGGACACTGAGCTCTGTGAACAGCCAGCCTCTTTAGCGATGACCTTTTGTGTCTTGCCCTCCTTGTGCAAGGTGTCGATGGTCGTCTTTTGGACAACTGTCAAGTCAGCAGTCTTCCCCATGATTGTGTAGCCTATAGAACTAGACTGAAAGACCATTTAAAGGCTTTTGCAGGTGGTTTGAGTTAATTAGCTGATTAGAGTGTGGCACCAGGGGCCATCAATTTTGAACCTTTTCACAATATTCTAATTTTCTGATATGATGAATTTGAGATTTTCATTTGTTGTCATTTGTAATCATCAAAATTAAACAAAATAAACATCTGAAATATATGAGTTTGTATGTAATGTATGAATATAATATACAAGTTTCACTTTTTAAATGGAATTACTGAAATCAATCTACTTTTTCATGATATTCTAATTTTATGACCAGCACCTGTACAGTTAAAAGGCAACTTTGGCCAGATGCAGGTTGATAAAAAATTTTATGTTTAACTTTTTAAGCTTAAGGATTTACTTAAAGCCAGTTGGCATGGAGGTAAAGGGAGAACCAAAAGAATGTTATTCTCGCCACCATCCACTGGACTTAAGGTGCACTTTCTCTCAGGCTGATTGTGGAGGAGCTTCCACAGCAATGGGAAAGAAAACTGATGATTAGAAGGATATCTCTGTTTCCTTTATAATACAAATCCTGGGGCTTTTAAGAGAGCTGTTTGTCCAAAAATAGAGGATAAATAAGAACCCACTAAGATAACTGAGAATATGGGAATTCTGCTGAACAGCCTCATAACAAACGAGCTGCTAAGCCAAGAACATTAATGATGTTGCTGTGAATGAGATGAAATGCAGCTGCAACAAAAAATAAATCCACATAAATAGTAAAGGTTGCCTGTAGCAACATTCACTATTCACACAGATCAAAGAATCTACTTTGAGGTACTTAGTCATTTACATTGTTTAAGCGCTTGGACTTCCTGCGGAGGATGAGGAGAGCCCTTTAGAGAGCCCTTCCATATCAATGCATCTTTTAGCACCATATTTTTCTCCCACACTGTTTAAATTTGATCACCACTACAGTTTTTGGAGTGGAAGTGTCATGAAAGCTGTACAAAATAAAATTTCATTTTATATACACTACACTGTACAAAATGACCATAAAAGTTGTCTAAGTCTAACATTAGGGCTCGGCACGGTTCATCTGTGGTTCGGTTCTCTGATAAGAAAGAGAAAATGAGCAGACCGCCTCATCTCCTATTTACAGACAGCTGACTCATATTGCAGGTTTCCCAGTGTGTCCGTCTTTGCAATTCACTGATCTCTTCACCTGTTCATCAAAAGAGCGCAGTGTCGCCTGGGATGAGGCCGAGACAGAGGCTCTCATTGAAATTTGGGCAGAAGACGCTATCCAGCCATTTTTGTTTGTGTAATTCCCACTTTGAGAGCTGTAGTATCGTCAACCGCCAATAGGAGGTGAGGAACCGTACTATTGTGATGTGTTAATGGTCGTAAGAACCAAGCTCTGCATGGTTATCTGATCCTAGCTCAGTCCGAACTCGACACGGATCGGTTTGATGGGGCTAGTTTAATGGGGCGAAAGGCCCATAGAAATGGTTACCAGTGACCATGACGGACAAGCAGCAGAACATGGATGGAATTAACTGATTTCTGTCGAAAATAACAATCAACCCAACATTATCCCAACAAATGCACGGCCAATCATAAATACCAAAAGCTGTGGATGAGATATCATATGAGACCAGCAGACATCATATAATCAAGGAAACATCAGTGCAAATGATTTGGTTGTACCCAAAACAAAAGAAGTTGGTTGAAAATGCATTCTAATGCCATTCAAATGTTTCACTTCATCTGTAGATTTATTAGCTTTAATTCCTTTGTATGTGTGGATTACTTACAAAAAGTCAAGGTTAAAAAACATTCCACTGGACTTTGTTTTCCAAGTTTCCCATCCAGAAAGCTTTTTCAATTCAAAATCTCTGGATTATTGTTGAGTTTCAGGCTTTTATAGAGTAGCCCCAACAAAAACCTGGTAATGGCTTCAAAAACATGCAGATTGAAACGGGAAAACCTGCTCCAACCCTTAATAATGGGAGTGGTTGAGGTCGTTATTGGCCTGCAATACCCAATGGCCCATTCCTCTGAAAAGGCAGTCGTTAACGGTCATTGTTGGACTGGCTGACCTTTTATTTTTTATTTTCTGTCCCCCTTGCATAGCGATGGGGGTTGAGATGGTACTGGCAAGGAATCCACTGTATTGCTTCATTGTAGGTTTTTAAGAGCTGAGTACCCTCCCTCTTTTTAAGGTTGGTTTTTCTCTTTTAACATAAATGCCTTCATTCACACCCATTTCAAACCACCTATCTTCTTTATTCATTCTTTATTATTTATTCTTTATACCATTTTGAACTGAGAAAGCTTCCTGCATGGGAAGCCAAACCTCTTCAAACTTTGTAAAGCAGTGGTTTGTTTTTTAACGTCTTGGAATGACTACGACCTGGATGACGGAGAATCTCCACCAGCAGTGTGGATTACTTGTTTCTTTACTTGCTGTAATTTATAGAGAAACTCACAACTAAAAATCTAATTCTTAATGTCTCAGTATTTCTATAACACACTGTTTTTGTTCTTTAATTTGAAAAACAGGAAAAGTTTAGTAGGTCTCACCTCTGAGATGGTCTAAAATGGGTGTCATCCTGTGAATGGAAGCTATGGGCGCCCTCTGCAGTGGGTGCGCCTCCAGGTTGGCTGTGGATGGAGATAAGAGATGGACAGATCCCTCTGCCTGACTCTGTGGTTGTGCTTGATAGATGATGAGCCATCACAATAGGGTTCCCGTTAGAATCCAGGGGGGCGTCCTTCTCACAGCGGGGTTTTAGCAGCTCTGAGTCAGACTCTAGAGAAGACTCTACTACGATGTTGGGTAGAGGGAGGGGTGATGGGTATGCCTCTGTGTGGGAAAGCTGTAGTTTCCTCATGTGGTTGACAACTGAGGCTACATTGAAGGCCTGCTGTGGGATAATGCAAACACATAAAAATTACCATGTAAATTATTACTTGATATCAGAATACCAATTTTGTTCTGTTTTATTTTTCACACCAATCTTTTTGTTTGGGTACAATATTTTATGGACTATGAGCTCAACTCACTATAAGCCACGCCCACTATTTGTTTTGCTGCTGATATCTAGCAAACTGTCTCCCACCAAACCTGTAGGGGGAGCTCTGTATAAAGTCCCTGGAGTACGGACGAAGAATTCGATTCAGTTCAATTCAATTGCCTCTATATTTATTTATAAAGCGCCAATTCACAACACATGTCATCTCAAGGCACTACAGATGCAATTCAACCAGATCATTCAGTCAAATTGATATCTAAGGAAAACCAGTTAATTGCATCAACTTATACTAAGCATGCTTGTAGTGACAGTGGAGAGGAAAAATCCCTTTAAAAAGGAAGAAATCTCAGGCGGAAGCAGACTCGGTATGAGCGATCATCTGCCGAGGTCGACTGGGGTTCAAGGAGACAGAAGAATGCTAGTTCCTGTTAGCTTGTTAGCTTACAGCAGTAAGAGCTTCCACTGGAAGATGGGGCTTCATCAGCTCTTTATTTGAACTTTTAGGAGTTGAGCCCAGTCTCTTCTTTGGTCCGTCAGCAAATGTGGCAAATAAATGTCAAAATGTGGGAATCCAGGACATTTGTTCTCCGTCGTGCCTGCTGCTAGCTAGGTAGCAGTGCTAAATGAAACTCTGACTTCCCCCCTCTGGCGGTTGGGAAAAATCCACAGAAAAGCCACAACCTCTTATAAGTCACATGATTCAAAGCGTTGGAAAAAAGTGGCAGCTTATAGTCTGGAAAATATAATACTCTATAAAATAAGTCCTATACCATCATCTTTAAGATATGCCTTTATTTTGAAATCCAAATTGCACGCGACTATAGAGAAAAGGTTATTGATTATTATCATTTCTATATTTGGAAGGAATCTGTTGCCTGGTGCCAGTTAAAGCTTAGAGGTTGAAAGGCTTAAATGATGAGTTGTTTCTGCGAGATGATAGTAATGTAGGTAACTGTCTTACATGGGCAGGTGATGTCTTATAGACTGATCGCAAAGGTGCTGAGTAAACTGATGGGAAATGGTAGGGATGCACGATATAATGGGCCCCCTATCGGTATCGGCCTTAAAACTGAATGACATCGGCCCCCCCACCGATATTTAACCCGATATTTGATCAGCTTCTGAGTTTCTAAAGTCTAAAATAAAAAAATACTACTACTTCTTCCTCAAAAACTTCTTTTTTACAGACTTAAAAACTTCTAAAGATGAGGGAAAAAATGTTGATCCATTAAAATATCCCAATATCTTCATATGCTGATAAATTGCCATTTAAAAACACCATATCAATCTCTTTTACTAATGAAATATTGCTATATGTCATCGTTATGCTACGAAATCCCCCGAAAATTCACCAAATGTTGCCATATTTTTATATGTTGATATATTGACGCGGTATCGATCTATTTTACTAACAAAATCTCACAAGAATTTGCAAAATATCACGAGTTTGTAACGGAACGATGAAATTTCACCAGATTTTGAAAGTAAAATAGATCGATACCGCGTTTTTAAAAATCTATTTGATATCAGCATATGAAAATATATTTGAGTTTATTATTTTTCAAAGTGTCAGAAATGGATAACAAAACTGCTATTTTCAATGACTACTTATTTTTGTCCAGCTTTAACATCGGTATCGATATCGGTTATCGGCTACATGAGTTTTAAAATATCAGCATATCGGATATCGGCCAAAATCCCAATATCCTGCATCCCTAGGAAATGGTATTGGACAGACTCTGTGATATTGGCTAACCTCATATCACAATAAGCTGGTGATTTAGACCCAAGCTACAAAGAAGAGTACTCTGATGCATCCAATGAATCCAAGCTTGAAATATGAAAACATTTTCCTGGACTATTGCCTCAGGAAAACGTCTTCTCAACATTGCTGGTAGTTTTAGCAATAGAAATGTAGACAAATTTCCGACTGTATAACAGAGGACTGAACACTGACAAGAAGTTTGATTCTTCTCCTTTCTTTTTAGAGTTCATTTGCGTCTTTATTTCTTAACACACTATCGTAACATGTCTACTGGTTCGAGTCATCATGATACCTCAGTGAGGAATAAAAGCTTCCTGATCATAACTCAATTACTTGATCTCCTTGGGCCACAGCTTCCCTTAATAATCAAATACACTTTGGTGATATGCTTACATGAAATAAGCGCTCAAATTATTCAGCTCGGTGTTTGGAAAGATGCTCAAAAATCCAGACAAGGCCAGAATTCTGCTGCAAGTGAGTAGGAATTACGCTCTATTGACAGGAGGTAACCTCCAGCAGAACCAGACCCAGGATCAGTTCTCATATTTGATGAATGGATTGTCCAGAATCATGAGAAAAAAATCAAACATGGAGCCTTTTAGAAGGTCGATCACAATAAGTAGCAAACAGTTTTTTTATCACTCTTCGTACACTTTTAATTGATCAAAGGAAATGTTGCTGCATTAAAGTAGAAAACAACAGCATCACAAACCTTCCATTTAGATTTGGCAAAGTTTCTCCCCATCTGTTCACAGACGGACTGATAGATGTCCAGGTCTTTGGCCGTGTGCTCAGCAATCCTGATATCATATGAGTGGGATATGTTAGTAGGAATAAAAACCAAAAGATAAGCTCACAGAGGCTGTTTGTGTGGAACTCACCAGGGATGTCGGAGTGCCTGTTCAGTGGTGAAGCGCTTCGTTGGGTTTTTTTCCATCAAGTTCCGAATGAAGTCTTTGGCTGTTAACAAACCAGGTGAAAAAGTTACTCGTTAAACTGCTCTATGTGAACAGCGACACGTTTAAGCCCCTGCAGCCATTAACATAGCAGTTTTTATTCAATGCTTTGAGCAGGGGCGTCCAAAGTGTAGCCCAGCAGCCGTTCACGATACTCAGATTAGTTTTAGGTTCAAGAATGGCTAAAGTTAGGTTGGTCATTGACATGGATAGACCTAGACATTTAAAAGAAAAAAGGGTTCATTTGACCATACATCGAAATTTAAACTTCTTTAAATTAAAAATAACTTGCAGCAGATTCCGTAAAAGTGGACTTTGTTTCCGAGGTTTGAAGACATTTCGCTTCCCCTCCAGGAAGCTCTCTCAATTCAAAATGTCTGGATTCGCATTGAGTTTAAGGCTTTATATAGTGGACCAAAAACAAGGCCTTGTATTGACGAGCAGGTCTTTTGGTTCCATAGTAAGCCTGTGATACCTGAAAGCTGTCTATGATTGTGAAAGGTTGGTCGTTAAAGGTATACTATGCAACCGGTGTTGATTTTCCAGCGAGGCTCCCCCCAGAGGGCGAAAGTAAAAGTGCACTGTCGTAAATATGCACAGCTGTTCTCCTGGTTTCTCCGTCAAGCCAGGCGCGGTTGTTTTGAGCTTAGCAGACAGGCCAACGCAACGAATGACTAATGCTGCGTTCACACTGGACTCAGCTGGCGCGACAGAAGCAGCGAGTTTACATGCAAAGTCAATGGTTGACGCGCGTCAAGGCGCAGCAAAAGGTCCCGCGGCGCGCTTTGAGCAGCAGGCGCAGCGCGTCTGAGCAGCAGGCGCAGCGCGTCTGAGCAGCATGCGCAGCGCGTCGGACGCGTTTAAGCATCTGACGCGCCGCAAACGCGCTGGTGCTCGAGATGGAAAAATTGAATTTTTGCTGCTCGACGCGCCGCGTCAACCAATCAGAGAAGCTGATCTGGGAGCTGGCAGGGAGAGAGACACAGCGCTGATGATCAGAGCGCTATGATCACTCCTCTGAAACAGTTTATTGACGCCTAAATTAACTTAAAATGTAGAAATCTGCCAGCAGAATATGTTCGCTTTTATTATCCTGCTGCCTGCAGTTTGGATTATTTAGATGAAAAACACCTACCAGCTGCCGCGGTGAACCGCGAGGAGGCGACCCGGCCAGAGGCTGCTGATGAAGGGATTCGTTCTGTCGGCGCACCGCTGGTATGTGGGGGTCTGAGCGGCTCCGACAGAAATAACATTGGAAGGCAGGATGGTAATCTGGATGAACTGACTGCACTGATTACGTTTTCAGGTGGATTTTCTCACTTAAAAACATATTAAAACTACTTTATTCCCACTGATCTCAGCAAATATAGCTGCAAGGCAGAGAAAGGATAATGAAGCTCCGCCCAACGCGCGTCAGACACACTTTTGCACCGCGCAGCCAGAACAGCAAAGCTGCTTCAGCCGCACGTCAGAACTAACTGGTACAAGCAGCAAAAATGAAGCAGCAGACGCGATTTTGCTGCGTCCGGTGTGAAAGCAGCAAAATTGCACAAAGATCGCCACTGTGCTAGCAACAAGCATGCTTTTAACTGGGGGGTGTAGCAGTTCTCGCCGTAAAGCAAGACCGACTCTCGCGAGACTTCTGAGCCTGTGGGTGCGGGCCGAGGGCTCCTGCAATTGCAAGTGCGGTATTTCCCCCACAGACCACCAGGGCGGCCGAGAATACCTTTGTTCAACCTGAAATGACTCATTTAATCATCCAAAACGTTATGGAACACATTAATTAACTGAAAAATGTTGCATAGTGTGCCTTTAAAGGGGGGATTGTTCACCGGTTGAAGAGAGGAGGTGCTTTGTTCCTCTGTGATGGGGTGGGGGTGTTGTGGTGATACCTGGTAGGAATCAACTCAATAACTGAATTGTAAGTTTTTGGAAGCTGGAATCTGAGTCCACCCCCTCTTTTTAAGGTTGTTTTTTCTCTCTTAACATAGATGGCTTCCTTCATGCCCGTCTCAAACTTTTCTTTATCCAGAATGTGAACATTCTGGTCCTTCAAAGAATGTCCTTTGTCCATAAGGTGTAGATGTACCGCAGAGTCTTGTCCAGAGCAGGGCGCTCTTCTGTGTTGGGCCATGCGTCTGTGCAGAGGTTGTTTGGTTACTGCAGACACCACTCCGCTCAGATTAGATCTGGGGTTTTATCTTTAGGATGCACTAGTCTCTGTTTAAGGGTTTTGTTTGGTTTGAAATGTTCTGGGATTTTGTGTTTGGGGAAAATCCTCTTGAGTTTTTCAGAGACTCCAACAACATAACTATCTTCTGCTGTCTTTTGGATTTCCTTGCTGGAAGAAAGTAGTGTTGCGCCGATGCCATTTTTTGGCCCCGATACCAATACTCGATACCTGGCTGTGCAGTATCGGCCACAGGGCCGGCCCGAGGCATAAGCGAACTAAGCGGCCGCTTAGGGCCCCCTGGTGGCCAGGGGGCCCCAAGCAAAAATGATTGAACAGGCCCTGGTCCATTTTTTTTTTTTTTTTTTTTTTTTTTTTTTTTTTTACATTTAAATAACTTAAACAAGTGATATAAATGATGAATACCAATTAATAAATAAAAAATTCAAGACAAAAAAAATTCTGATTTGTCCACAACTGCTCATGCGCATTCACTTCGCGACGGCAGCCGCAGACAGCTCACGGTATGCAGCGCGCCTGCATTGACAATTCACACTGGCGCGCACCTGTTAATAACCAAGTCTAAGCCATGTCACAAAAAAGGATTTATCCCTCTGGTGCCGAAAAAAGAAAAAAGAAAAGGAAAGAGGAAGAGAAAAAAGAGCAAGATAAAGGTATGTTTGCATGATTATTTACTGACCGTTATATTTTGTGCAGCAGCAGCACAGCTAGCTAGTCATCATAACTCATGTCGTGATATTTATCAGCCATCCATCACCATTAACAGTGAAATATTACCCGTTATTAATATACATTTATTTAGGTAGGTGTGTATTTTATGTGTTGATACATATCGGCGTAGGAGACCCAGCACATGCTGGACGGACTATGTTTCTCGGCTGGCCTGGCCTGGGAACGCCTGCTTGGGAATCCCCTCGGAGGGGAGGGACGTCTGGGCCTCGCGTTGAAGCTGCTACTCCCGCGACCCAACCCCGTATAGGCGGAAGATAATGGATGGATGGATAGATATCGGTTTAAGTTGGAGAAAACACAGATGCCAGCAGCCAGCTTAGCTAGCATTGTTGTTTGTGTTAAAATGAATCTACTAACTTAATAGACAAAGCACATGCGCTCTCTGCTCTAAGATTTTTGGTGAGAGATGGTAATTTATCTTTATTAGAAAATATACCAAAAATGAAAATAGAGTGCAGTTTTATTAACATGGTGCTTTCCTCATATTTAGGCTGCAGTAGATCACAATGTTAAGTTTTTACCATATGGCAATTATGCCTCATTTGCCAATAGAATATGAATTGTTAGGTGAGGTGTGGAGTTTCTTGTAGTGCAAGATGGGAAAATAAACTAATTCTACAATAAATTATCAGTAAATTTAGATAAAACCAAATTCATGATATTCGGAAAAAATTAAAAACAGGAAAACAATCCAATTAAAATATCAATTGAAAGTGTTGATTTAGAACAAGTACATGAAATAAAATTCTTGGGTGTCATATTAGACGATAAGTTTAGCAGGAAACATCAGATCAGCCTAGTAAAATCTAAAATAACCAAAAGTGTTGCTGTTATAAGAATTAGATTCGTCCTGGACCACAAATCTTTGTTTATTTTGTACAAAACACTTATTGTACCACATTTAACATATTGTGTGGAAGTTTGGGGGAATACATACAAAACAAATTTACAACCATTTTACGTTTTACAAAAAAAAATCAATCCGAATATTCCATAAAGTGGGATACTGGGAACACACAAATCAGTTATTTATCAAATAAAATATACTGAAATTCTGGGACCTGGTAATATTTAGAACTTCACAATTCATGTTTAAGGTCCGAAATCAAAAACTTCCACACAATATACAGGAAATGTTTGGTGACAGAGAGGGGGAGTTATGATCTAAGAGGTGAAGGATACGTTAAAAAACAACACTTTAGAACAACCAGGAAGATTTTTTGTTTATCTGTGTGTGGAGTAAATATCTGGAAAGGATTGAATGACGAGTTTAAAAAAATTATAAATGCAAACCAATTTAAAAAACTGATTAAAACCGAGCTCATTTCAAAATACGCTATATAAGATGACTGTTTAATAGTCTATAATGTAATTGATGACATAAATAGTACTTAAAATAATTGTACATGGCTAAACATCATGTGGAATGGAAACAAGTGTTTTTTTGGTTTCTTGATGTTTTGACAGTTAATTGATGATAAATTGACAAGTAGGAAAGGGGCAGGACATTATAAGATGTATCTTCTAGCTGCTCCTTTTCGAACAGAAAATATAAAATTTGCATGTCACATGGGCAAAATAATTTGTTTTATATTTTTATTCTTAAGTTTGTTTCATTTAAATTTTTTCTTTCTTGATTGTTTTTGCTGTCTGTTCGAAATAAATAAATAAATAAATAAATAAATAAAAACTATGCATTATGCAATGCTATTTTTCCCAGGAACACTATTGAAGTACTTTGGAGAACAACCAACTTTACCTGCCCCTACTGTTTTGAGTGTCAGTGCCTCCACAGCTGATGATGCAGCAAGTGAGGGTTTTCTTGATGGCAAATGGTTACATAGCCTGTTAATATGACATGAAACATTTAGCTTTTTATTTATTTCTTTATTTTTTCTTTGTTTGTTTTATCATTGCAGGTTCATCCACTGCACAAGCGACATCAAGGGAGGAGCACTTACATGTGACTGAAAGCGAGGAGCAGTTACAAGCACCTACATTTACTGATCCACTGGTTTCAAACTCAGCCGGCATGACAGGTCTGTTAATCTAAGTTTTTGTTTTGTGTTGGCTTTACAATA